TAACATGCCGGATTTATGATTTAGAGGTTGACGGTACAGAAGTTTGCGAACAGTATTGGGTATATTAACGCAAGCTCTTATACATCAAATTCCAACTTATCGATTCTCGCGTACCAAAAGTATTTGATCATCCAAATTACGCGATATATTTCAGGAACAAAACGAGTTGTTAGACGAAGCTTAGCTGGCTAGTGATCGTGCACGAACGTGACACGACGGAGTACCAAATGGTGGGGATGCTTGACCGAAAGCCTTCAGCTAAACAAGTGGACTTAAACAGTGGTGGTCAGCATCCAATGTTCAGTGATGATTGCTGTGGTCAATAATTTTGGGGAATCATTTACCGCTACAATGACATGAATTGTGAAGCGTAGCCTCAGCGACGTAATTCACGTGGAGACTATCTATCCGTAGTGGTGTGAAGGGCATAAATCAAAGGTTTGTGGTCCCTAAAGACAGTAAACCGATGAACGTCAAATTGAAGGCAGTGCTTGATTGAAACATAAATGTTAAGGAGTTCGTGACCAAAAGTGCCACATCACATTTCATATGCATACAGCTATCTGGGGAGGAAAGCTAGAGATGTCCAGGTATTGTTCATGAGCTGTTTCAGGACAGCTTCTATATGCGTGTTAGATGCATCGACTGAAATGCTGAGGGGAAGCTTAATGTCCGGATGCACTAACATGGTGGCGTATGCAATAACCATCTTGACTTGCCCAAATGCTTCCAGTTCTTCAGGGGTAGGAGTTAGCTCTCTACACTTGCTTTTTAGAAGATTAGTCAGTGTTAACAGAGTATGCGCGTGTTGGAGGAAAAAAACGATAGTCGTAACTCACTATGCTGAGGAATGTGTGCATTGGTTTTAGGAATGTTAACACTGGGAAGTTTTGGATTACTTGTACGTTTTCAGGCAAGGGAAGAAATCTATGTCAGAAGAAAGTCAGGGATTGAACACCAACCTGATATTCGGGTAGATTGACTGTTTCCAAGAGCTTTTAAAGATGGTCGAAAACTTGTTGTAGATGAGCATAATGAGTCTCTTCACTGGACTGGCTATCAGAATATCGATCAGAAAGGTGTAAGAAAAGTCTAGTCCACGCAAGATCGCATTGATGAAACGCTAAAGTGCCTGTGTGGCGCTGAATAGACCGAAAGGTATGACTGCCGTCTTCGGCACATCATGGTGTACGGGGATTGGGTGGTAAGCACGTGCCAGACCTATCTTGCCGAAGACCGTTGAATCTTTCAAAGATGATGTAAAGTTGTGCATTTGTGGAACTGGATAACGAACTAGGACTATCTGAGCGCTGAGCAGTCAATAATCACCACAAGGCCTGTAGTATTCTTCATTCCTTTGATGTGCGCACACTAAACAAGTATTTCTTACATTCTCCCACAAATGCCAAACTTTCTAGTGTTACAAGTGTTCATGAAACCTGCTTCTCTGGTTTCAATACAAATGATGTTCTAAAATGTCTCAAGTCTCTGAACCCTTCTTGTAGCTTAGGTCCAGATGGTTTGCCTAGTATTATTCTTAAAAAGTGTGAAGACATCCTGTGTCATCCTCTCACAGACGTATTCAATGAATCTTTTTCTAGAAATGTTGTGCCAGCCGTTTGGAAGGAAGTTAAAATTTTACCTATACGTAAGGCATTTACTGGAACATGCTTAAAATTTAGACCTACTGTTATTACCTTCTCTTTTCTAAATACCACAGAAACGTTACTCTTACTTAACCTTCACTTAAAGCCTTTAACGATCCCAAACAACTCGCCTATAAACACAGCAAAAGTACTTTAGATGCAGCTGCAGTCTTGTATCATAACATTGTCTCCAGTTTAGACAAGGGGGCTAAATTTGTTCGCTGCTCCTTCCTAGATTACACATCTATTTTCGACTCAGTACCTAGAGACATTTTTTAAACAAGCTTGCTGAAACTCAAAATGACTGTTGGGTTGTCAAATGGCTGCATTCTTATTTCTCAGGAAGAAAGCAGTACACTGTGTGTCAGGGAAAGTCGTCCACTTCTTTGCTTACTGAGGCTGTGTCCCTCAAGGTGCTGTCCTTTCTCCTTTTCTGTTTTCTTTCTTTTTGCATGACTCGCCTCACTCTGGTGATGAAATGAACCTTGTTAAGTATGCGGACAACGTAACTATTTCAATATCTGTTACCTCCCAGCTAGACTGCAATAAGATGAACAGCTTTCTATCAGGAGTTAGCAAATGGTCTTCGTCTAATGGCCTTAAACTAAATCCTTCCAAATGTTAGACTGTTAATTTCAGTTTCCAATGTGAATAAAAGTCAAATGAAGCTGTTGGTTCCTATGACCGTTGCAAAATTGATGATACTGATATAGAAACCAAGTCTGAAGTTAAGCATCTTGGATTAATTTTTTCTACTGAGCTATCCTGGCCTTCCCATGTCTTAGCGATTTCTAAAAGAATATTTCGTCTGACTTTTTACATTAAGAAGTTAAGGCACTCAGGCATAACCCAACCTCTCCTCTTACAGTTTGTTAACTCGTGCACCTCACCTATTCTTCTTTACTGTTTATCCTTATTCTTTCCTGGATTGCTTAAAAAAGACTATGTCATACTTCGTAGAACTCTGAAGACTGTCAGTAGGACGAGTGGTATCCCATTGGGCCAAATCGTTGACATTGTCACTGTTAGGCACTTGGTGTCATGCAACAAATTTGCTAGAGGAATTTCGTCAGACTGTGAGCGCCCACTCTACCCACAGCTCTAACCTTGTGTCTCCTCAGGCAAAAAAAGAAGTCTTTTCAGAAGAATTTATGCACATACGTCTAAGTATAAAAATTCCACGATACCGTATTTGGCAGCACGTACTTTATGTGATGGAAATAGTGTTAGGCATGAACTAACTAAGCTTCTTTGCACTACAAAATAAATGATTTCCTCCACTCTTATAACACCGCCCTTTATTGTTATTGTACTTCTTATATTTATAATCCTATCCATTTTTTGTTTTTATTCGTTTATTTTTTCATATGTGTGAACATCATTTAAGCTGTGTTATAGCTGTTAATCTTTTTTATTTCCCCTCACCATACTATATCAACAGAACATTATATTCAATATTCTATAGCATGCTAAAATTTCCAAATTGAATCGACAAAACTGTTTGAAACAAACTCACTGTTATTATTATATGTAATATTCTCAATTCATGCTTCGAATATTTTTGACTTTATATCGTAAACGTGGACAAATTCCTCTGGTTAATTTTATTTATATTTCGAGCAAATCAGATGCAATATTTTGACAAATGCTGAGAATTCCATTCTGTATTATAAATACTGTTTTCGGAATAAAGTAGATTATTATTATTTCTATGACCACATGTCAAGGTGAAGACTACGAGCTATCTGATTATACCTTCTTCGGGGATGTGTTCAAATTCAGCCTTAACAGTTTGCAGTTTCTCTTGAGAAAACCAAAGAGGTATGGAGAAAATAGGTGGACCAGTAGTGGTAATATGATGAGAAACCTTGGATGTCACACAAGAATCACCACTATTAGGCTTGAAAATGTCGGCAAAAGTTTGGATTATGGTGGAGTACTGAATCGAAGTGTGGGGGATTAAATATACCGAACTGAGGGAGGGTTTATGAGTGACAGTGCAGGAGTCGTGCGGTAGATTCAGTCGACTCATGCTTGCTAGCATCTACCAGCAACTGATAGTGTTGTAAGAGACCCATACCAATAAAGCCAGTGGCTACATCAGCGACGATGAAAACCCAGAGAAAATAACACCGGAGTCCGATATTTGTGTCTAAGATCCTTCCAACACATATTGCGATAGACGAACCATTTGTTGCGCGTAGCTGCAGAGATATTAGCCACAGACACTCTTCTGCTGTAGGTTGGATGACGCTAGTTTAGGGACCGAGTGTGTTGACCTTCACGGATAGTGCGATGTCTACTAACATAAGATCCTATACCCACGACTTCCTTAGTATTCGTTTCGCGTTGACCAAAGAAAAACCAAAACACCAAGTTGATCGTCCAAAATACGAAGTGTGAGAATGATTGCTTGGCTAGCTAGTGATCGTGCACGAACAATCTGACGGAACACGAAGGCGCGCCAAACAGCGTGGATGCTAGACTGTGAGCTTTCAGTTAAACAAGTCGACTTAAACAGTGAAGGTCAGCATCTAATGCTCGGTGATGAATGTTGTGGCTAATAATTCTATGGGATTATCTACCTCCAAACTAGCTTCTTCCCCAGTATCAACAAGGAAGTGTATCCTAGAGTAACGTATTGCGACATGGAACAAGCGACGAGGGGGTGATTCGCCAGCGATATTAGTCGCCATTATGTGCCGGATAACACTTTTCCCGACTGGCTGCTCTCGAGGTTATAGGGACGAGTACACCTTTGTGCATTGGCACTATAACGTATGTGATTCCTTTTGAGAATATATTGCTCATAAGCCTTATCACCTACCCCTTATCGGTCTCATGTGAACCCCAGATAAACACACAAATTATATGGATTAGGCTAAGGTATTAATTCTAAAATTCTATTTCCAGAACTTCTTCAATAAACGAATAATACATCCATTACTATTATTTAATTGAGTTCTAAGTGGAATATAGCGCTTCGATAGCTCATCGCCATTTTACTCCCCGCACGATCTTTTCTGTACCACTCTTGGACAACCAACTCGTCGCTTTCTGTCAGGGTTCTATTCGAAGGACTGGAGTATGATGCCACTCGGCCGCGTTTGTCTAATCCTACTCCATTTCCTTCTGCATATTGGCTGGATGATAAGTTCGTAAAAGACAGTTTATAATATTTAACTTTCGTGTATTATAAAATGATTAAATGGACATTACATTACATACTAAAAATTATTTCGATGTTCAAACAGAGCGAATTTAAGACCTGACGGTGAATCAAAGCCGATGAGAAATGCAGTCAGTTACAGTTCACAGTAAAAAGGAATTGATTAAATTCAAATCCACTGCTGTTTATTCATTCATCCAAAATGCATTCGATGAACCTCCAGGAGGTTGGGCTGTTTTCACTGATGTATGTATTTTTCTTTGACCAGGTGGTAGTGCTTCTAAAGATGAAAAGAAGCAAACACATTTACAACCAAGTGATGAATTTATGTAAATATGATTAGATTTCCAAAAATTTAGAATTAAGATTTGGATTGTAATGGTTAGAAGTATTTATCACTGTAGGGCTGTCTACAATATCTATAAAAGGTAGTATGAGGGGCAAATATACACTGAAAATAACTAAATCTGCAGGTATTATCGTGTGATTTTCTCTGAGACTGCATTTCTAGTGGAACTTGATATTAACCAATAGTATTGATCTACTGATGAAATTTCGTAATCATGTGATTTTACCAGCCAGACTACGTAAATTTCATTACTCCAAAGACATTTGGAAGAGAGGTAATAACCAGGCTTACTTATCTGACCGCTTTATTAACATAAAACGAAAGCACATCAATTAACATAAAAGCCAGACTAATGAATGATAACAATTTTACAAAGAAAAATACCGCATACAACTGACTCAAACTTATCACTGTGCCAAAAGAATGTCGTGTAAGCTAAGAATCATCTGAAAGATTCTGAAAAGAGCGATGAAAGAGAAACCCGGAGAGCCCTGGGTTCGAACCCCAACGGGCACGTAGTGACGAAGAGTCCAAAAGTGGGACAAAACAGCTATCCAGTACTTCCAGGTCTTCCAAAGGTTCTTTAACCAATGTCAACTCGTGATGAAATCCTGCGACCAATCAAATCCCTGTGAACCAACAACCTGAAACATTTTATTAATAATAATAATAACTTGTTACATTATAGGCACCAGGAGATGTGCCACACAAATTTTATCTGGTAGTTTATGCGAGGGGCTGGATCACTACCATAACCGAAGCAGTTGGATGTCCCCACAACCTCTTGACTTGATTCACACAACTGTGGAGCAGCGTTCTCATGATTTCCGATGACCAAAACAGGTACACACGTCATTCAATTCTGTCGGCTTCTGGAGCCCATGTTTACTGTAAGTATTGAATCAAGGTTCCCCAGATTACACTCCTTGGGTAGGGCAGCATATCCAGCAGTCAGGTTGTAAGCACCAGGATATTTAGATTCACGCTTTCACTTTTGTGAGGAACACCCCTCACCGCGTGAAGACAGTGAATAGGACTTACCTGACAGAGGCTATGAACTCGAAGCCACGTGAGAGCATTTCAAGAAGAAGACCGAAGTCTACCCTTCTCGGTCCAACCATGTCATTTATGGGGGTTGTGTATAGACTATTTAGATCAGTAATGGAATACTGTGAACAGTAGTTCTACTGTAGTGAGAGGGAAAAGAGATTAACAAACAAACAAAATCTATTTGGTGATGTTAGTCTGCATGTAATGAAACTATCATTAGATGTAAGAAAATATGCCGACCAACAACTGAAGCCACATGTGAAACGAAGTGTAACTTTTGGTGAGGAAATCGAACTAGTAAGTGACATCAAGTGGGCACCCGTTATCTGCAAGAAAACCTGAAAAAGTATTAGGTGGTCAGAAAGTGACAGAGGGTGAATCGTTAGCGAAATTTATAGCACAGTGGGTAAATCAGTAGATCTATGAGTAAATTCCTGTTTGAATTTTAAACTAGAGAGAGGTGATATTAGCAACGGAAAATCGTACATGAAACTACTTCGGTTTCAGTTATTACACATACTAAGCGTACGAAAAAAAAGCTTACAGGGAGTGAGATATGAAAGCAGACAAGGAAACAATAAGTATGTGAATTTATTTCTCACTTTTATATTGAACATGACATTTTCTTAGGATAGTTTATTTGCTAAGTGTCTCAGGGGGAAACAATTATGCATGGATAACAATCAGTATAGGAAATCGAAACATTAAAATAATTAGGACAAATTATATCATATGACTGATCACTACACTAAAAAATTGTGCATATGTGCCTGAAAAAATCTGAAGTGTTTCAATAACATCCCCAAGGTACATAATTAGCTGATCACTATTTGAAGATATGAAGTCCAACATTTATCACCACATATCTAGATATTATTTGGGTCATTGTAACCTAGTTCTCTTACATACTGACACCTCACAGATAATAATTTAAAAGACCATCTATTACACAGGAAGATTTAAACATCTTACATTCTAAAATGTTAGTACGAGGCAGTGGTTCATTGCAACCTCATCTCACCAAAGTGACACAGAAAGAATCATCATCCGGACTACCCATCAAAATAAACAGCAAATATGTAGATCAAACTTTATTAAACTATGAATTTTAATAGCCACTACAATGAGTAATGAATATCAAAAGTGAAAGACACAAAAAACATTTTGAATCCACAATAAAGGGGAGTTATTTTAATTTATTAGACTGGACCAAAAAGACATTTCTTAGAGACACTGTCATTTAGGAAGATGAATCTTCAAAACAGATGGCTGGACTTTCTAAAACATTCCACACGACTAAAAACACAACTCACTTACCCTTCATCATTATACATATTAGGATGCAGATATGTCTTTCGATTTCTGAAGTTGAAAATATTGTTTTGAATATGAGCTGAAGAAGAGCAGCATTACCTATTTATACTTAGAGTGCGTTAAGGACAGCAGTGAAGGTCTACTGTCCCGACCGAAAGCTGCTACCTTGACGTGGTGGTCGGGCTTGAACACCGCAATGACCTAACAAGCTATACTGGCTGAGACTTATGTCTCTTGAGGTCTACCATGCCAGGCAGGTTGTTTGGATAGCGGTTAAACAAAAAGCAGCTACCCAATCCAACATCATGTCCAATACAAAATCACAAAATTTCATGCCGGATCGGCCGTGGCCCGGATTAACAACGACCGCGCTTCCTGCTGCCGTGTCACAGGGCAGGAGTGATAAATATGCTACTGAGACACACCAAACAAAAAGAACGAACAAAAACAGGCCGCGTGTGACCGGCCTCAAGCAGTTGTCCCCTGGGCTCTGCGGTCACGCAACCAACTTCCACGGTGTGGGCAGCCGGGAAGTAACAATCGCCCTCACAATCCGAAATGCACGAAACCTCTCTATTACTCACTCATCTTTGTCTTCATCTTCATCTCTATCATCTTGCCTTCCTTCCACTGATGCAACTCCTCGACTTGATAGCTCTCCACTTCCTCTCCACTCTGCGTCCACTAAAAACGATGGAAGCCAAAAAACCACCACCGACAGCCTCTTAAAGCCGCGCCACCAATTTCATATAGGAGCTCTTAATGTTAGGACACTTTGCCAAATAGGACAACAAGCATCACTAGCCAAGACCCTGGCATCACGAGCCATTGATGTATGCTGTGTTTCAGAAACACGCATACAAGACCCAAGTGTGGTTATTCACCTAACCCCACCTGGCCAACAGGTTGAATCTGCAAAATTCACCTTGAGGGTGTCAGGAGATGCCACAGCTAGTTCACGAGGATTAGCTGGCGTAGGGATAGCTTTGAGTACTAGGGCAGAAAAGACATTGCTTGACTGGATCCCGGTAGATAGCCGAATGTGTGCTGTCCGCCTGAACGGATCAGTAAGAAGGAGGAAGGACTGCACTACTCGCCGATGCCTTTTCGTAATCTCCGCCTACGCCCCCACTGACTGCAGTTCAGATGAAACGAAGGATGAGTTCTACCAAAAGCTGTCTAGTTTGGTGAGAAAGGCTAAACGCTCAGACATAGTCGTTCTAGCTGGTGACTTTAACGCTCAAGTAGGGAAATTGTGTCAATCTGAGAAGGATGTCGGTGGCACCTATGGAGTTCCGTGCCAGCGAACCGACAACGGTGACCGTCTCCTACAGTTCTGTTCTGATAATCATTTGTTTCTTGTAAGCACTAACTTTAAACACAAGGAGAGACACTGTTTGACTTGGAGACCCCCTTCATCAAACCAACGCTGGACACAAATAGACCACATAGCAATAAGCTATCGTTGGCGTGGGTCGGTAGGAGATTGTCGCTCCTTCTGGAACACGTGTGTAGATACCGACCATGCACTGGTCCGCGCTCGGGTGTGCTTACGACTGAACGGACGTAGGAAACAGCTGGCGGTAAAACCATCACGTCCCCAGCTCGATCAGGAAACTAAATCCGTATTTGAGGAAGAACTAGCTAAACACATATCTGTGTTCGACAGCTGTGCTCACCCTGAAGAAGCTTGGAAAAATATCCAGGCAGCCATAGATACAGCTGTAAAAGCTGTGAATAAGGTAAACCCAAAGGTGAGTAAAAACCACTGGATCTCCACCGCCTCATCCGAACTGATAGATGCTAGAAGACTTATTCCGGCGAGCTCCGAATTCAATGAGGAGCGAAAGCTGCACAAGAGGAAACTTACGAAAAGTCTCCGCAAGGACCGTGAACAGTGGTGGGCGACAAAAGCCAAAGAGATGGAGAAAGCTTCGAGGATAGGCAACACCAGGCAACTCTTTACACTCATCAGGGAAACGGGTGGGAGAAGACAAATCATTAGTGAGACAATCTCGGAAAAAAATGGCACTATAATTAGCTCCCAGGATAGACGACTGGATCGTTGGAAAGAGCATTATGAGGAGCAGTTTAATTGGCCCACAGCCACGCTCAACCTTCCGAGCATCCAACACCTCCCTGAATGGGATATAGACACAGGTCCTCCGTCCCTAACTGAGGTTACTAAAGCTGTCACCAATCTGAAACTAGGCAAAGCAGCGGGACCTGATGGAATGACTCCAGAGGTATTTAAGTACGGTGGAGACAGCTTACTGTCCGGATTAACTGAGGTACTAGGCAGCGTCTGGGAATCAGAAGAAGTCCCATCGGGTTGGTGTAAGTCACTGATTATCCCCATATACAAGAAGGGAGACAAGTCTTCCTGTGATAATCACAGAGGGATTAGCTTGACTAATATAGTATCTAAAGTCTTAGGCTCAATAATCATGCGTAGACTGAGTGGTGCTCGGGAAGCACAAACACGAGAGAGCCAGGCAGGCTTTAGACCAGGAAGAGGGTGTATTGATCATATCTTCACCCTCCGACAGATTCTAGAACATAGGCATTCCTACCGGCGTCCAACAGTCATTATATTTCTTGACCTAAAGGCAGCATTCGACTCTGTCGATCGGGAAGTTCTCTGGAGATGCTTGGCTGTAAAGGGAATTCCAAGAAAATATATTGCACTGATTAAGGCACTCTACTCGTACTCATACAGCCAGGTGAGGGCTTACGGCGAGCTGTCATCTGAACTGATGACGACCAGTGGTGTCCGTCAAGGATGCCCATTATCTCCTTTTCTATTCAACTTCATCATAGATGTGTTAATGGACTTAACCCTAAGTGACTTCAGCGACTCAGGGATTGACTTGCTACCGGGAATAATCTCGTTGACTTGGAATATGCAGACGATATAGTCCTTCTAGGCGAAGACGCTGACGAAATGCAGAGTCTTCTAAACACCTTGAGCCGCAATCTACGAATGTTTGGCATGCGATTCGCTCCCGCCAAATGCAAGATGATGTTACAGGACTGGACTACATCGACGCCTAGTTTAAAAATAGGAAGTGAAGTGGTAGAGCACGTTGACCGCTTCACTTATTTGGGAAGTACCATCAGCCCCAACGGGCTGATCTCTGACGAAATCTCAGCACGAATACAGGGGGCTCGTTTCGCATTTGCCAGTTTACGCCGACTCTGGCGTAAAAGACTAGCTGTCTTTGATAATAGGTGCCTGCGTTCTATTTCCCGTGTAAAGTGGCATAATAAGGTGAGCAACATGGAGGTTAGGCGTAGAGTTCTAGGTAAACAGGGGAAATCAATCGACGAAGTCGTGAAGCTACAAAGACTGAGATGGTTAGGACATGTGTTACGTATGCCAAGCCATCGCCTCCCTCGACGAGCAATGTTAGCGGATATAGGGTCAGGCTGGAAAAAAGCTAGCGGCGGCGGTCAAACAAAAACATGGCACCAGCCAATGAAATCCACAACAGTTGGTCTAAGCCACGTAGGAAGGTGTAGACTTCCAGGCTGGGGTCCTCGGGACGGTAAAAATCTATGGTTGGAAACAATTGGTGACGTGGCTCAAAATCGTTCTCAGTGGCGCAGATGCATCCACTCCTTGTGACATATGATCTCCACCAATGAAACTGTTTTGTTTTTCTTTATTACTCCTTTGTCTCACACCTCTGCTCACTGTTTCTATTATGCTTTTCTTGTACTTTCTTCTCTTGCTTCGCGTGCTACACGGAGTGTGGCGACTTGAACTTCCGCACATTTGTGCAAAGTTCTATGTCGAAAACAGACAGACAGACAGATTACTGGTTCGACTAAGTGAAGCGCTAAGTAAAGCGTGGATGCAAGGAGTACATGTTAAATATGTTTAGTTACTGTTTACCTTCATAAAAAATTCTAGATGGAAAATGATTAGGCTCGACGAAATGTATGAGTGATCGTATCAGAAGCACTACACCAATCTATAAAGTTTCAGAACACTAGAATTAATCATTAAATGAGATATAAACAATCTGATTAGAGTGATCAGTATTCAATGGTTAGAGCCTTATTTCATCTGTATTCACTATTTATCATCGAAATTTTGGACATTCCATCCACCAATATATGCATGTACCTTTCGTGTGTGCTATTGAGTATACTATGCATTGTGATGTCCGCAGTAAGTCATAAACAAACGAAGGATTGGTAAATTTTGATACAGCAGAAATAGATGAAATCAGTTATTTATACAGAAAGCACAAAAACTGAAGGGAAACGCAGCAGGAAGCAAGACAAGAAGAGTTTATGCGAATTGGATTTCCAATACAGAACTGTTATTAGTATTGTGTGCAGTTCCATTAATCAACAATTCTGCACCTGTTTCTCATGTTACTAACTTTCATGAAAATTTTGTGCATTATGGGATGAATCAACTTGCTACAAGTGTATTTGTACAGGCTTTTTAAACAGAATGACAAGTTCAAACTTTGGTTATTAAAATTACAGCACCATTGTAAGCAAACAACTATTAGAAATACATTGTAAAGTATCCTGCTGTGTTATTTTTTACATATCCCATATTCCGGTTTTGATGCATTGTGAAATGAGGCAAAACTGGGATCTATAACTTTACGAGTACATATATGAATGTAACTTCACTCTAGTAATTTCTCCCAGCATATATTGACACGGCTGTTAATTTATGCCTGATCAGCAAGAACTCAGGTCGCCGTAGTTGGATATCTAATCAAAAGCTTATAGCTGGTGATTTTTTAGCATAACTCTACTCACTCAGTGACTAACTGCATAAAACAATCAGTGGACTTCAAATTGTTAGCTCACACCAGTCGTTTTGACCCGGATTAGAGACGCATGTAAAATTGTGGCCCAGAACTTCGTATAACGGAAACAAGTGACAGGCGATCGAGTTAATTTAAACTTGGTTGAAGGACTTTCTTCATATCCTATTCCCTTTACAAAACTGGGAGACAAAGCAATTCCAAATAAAGCAAGCAGCACAAGGGGAGAAGTTGGTCACTCAATAGAAATACCAATTGACTTAAAGGGTTAGATTGCTTCCTGTCTATTAATAATGCGAAGAGAGCTAAAGAGTAAAACCAGAATAGTCAGTTCAATCAGAAGATATAAGCAGAGAGAAAATACTTTTACAATAACTTCTGCTGTTGGCTTGATTGATGGTAAAAGTAAATTATTTGGTGGACGGTAACTAGCGATGGAATTCAGGATGCAAGCTTCGTCCTATTTAGGATTCGCAAGCTGGATGTGCCTGCAGCCCTCAGTGGGTGGTGACTACCCCATTGAAACTCCAGCACAGTACCCATCTTTCCAAACGTCGAAGCATTATACACTAGACCACTTAATCTAAAACAACCCTTCAGCGCAATCAATCAACGGGAAAACAAAACTGACTTAAACAGATAAAAGTAAATTACATAGAACAAAAAATAAACCTATTAAATGTATATCATGTGACTAACCTTTAGGCATATTGTCAAAATATTCCTTTCGAAAATAGTAACCTTCTTTAGAGTGATCTGAATTATCAACAGGAGCATCATTAGCTACATTTCCCATATATGGTTCACGCGACAGTGGTGTATATTCAGAGTTTACATTTTTTTCCACAGCATTCACCCGACCGTAAACATACTGGGAAAAAGGTTGCGAAGTAAGCAAAACACCACAACAAGCATCATCTAAAAGTTCATTATTTTCGACCACAATACGACCCCGTAACAAAACCATTTCTGGACCTGATTGATAACTTGAAGTAGTAACAGTAAATATGTTGGGCACATCGTTAGGAAAAATGTTTTTGAAATTTTCTTGTTTGAAAGAATTCGACCAAATAATAATGTCGGCATCAGAACCAACTGCTATTCTACCTTTCTGAGGATATAGATTCATCAGTCGAGCAGGATTGGTACTGGTTACTTTAACGAATGTGCACGGATCTAGAGACCCACTTTCCACTCCATGACGCCAAAGAACGATCATTCGACAGCCTAAAGCTGCAATACCATGAGGTATTTTCAGAGGGTTTTTCAGACCGAAAGTTGCGCGCACTGCAGTAGTTATAGCTCGATGACCTGAACCGACAGATACTAGGTCTTCAGATATGAGGTGAGTGAGTAGTTTCTGACTGAGCTGAACATCCGGTCTTAACGGTGGACAGTTCACGTAGCTAGCAGCCGTAGCCCAATCCTTTGAGCTAGTAAATACGCCATTCGCACAGTCATTAGAATTTATTGCAACAAGCGGTGCTGCAATGGCTGATACACTAGTCTGTCCATAGAGCAAGCCTCTACACATACGACGTTGTTCAATAAAACAACGCAGAGCAGCTTCGCTATGAATTCTGGAAATTAATAGAGGACAACAAAACCCGGTATATTGTGAGAACAAAGAACCTTGCAATATTGTATTTGCTTCCGCTTGCTCAGGAGAATTCAACGAATGCACTTCGGGACCAATATTAGGACAATCACCTTGTAGTTCAGAGGACAGTTTTTGTGATAATGACACTGAAACAGTAGCTTCAAGGATTGGTAACGCACCTAGTTGTCGACATGACTTCAGGAGACTGTAAAATTCTTCTTCATTGATACACTGTTCACTTTTTTGTTAGGCAGTAATTTTGATCCCAAACGAACAGAATATAGTAGTACTCCTTTACATTGAACTAAAGTAACAAGTTCTTTTTCTGTTTCTGGTGAGAAACTAGCCAGTTGAAAACACACACTATAATCACATCCTATGTGTCCTTGGATTGAAGATAGAAATTGCTCGTACGTAGATATGAGAGAACGATCAGGATGTGCATTGATCGTGTTTACTAGGAAAACAAAAGAACATATCGGGATAGAAAGTGAGTTATATGAAGCAATAGCAACACATATTTGAATTAACTTTTAAAGTGGCAAGTTCAAGTGAAAAACTAAAATATAATAAATTAATCAAATATAATCAGGATACAAACAAATAAAGGGACAAAAAACTCAACAAATCGTTCTATTCACTAAGACGATATTTTTTAGTCACGTTTTCAGTCTAAAAAGGCAGGAGTTAAACTATCCCACACAGTTACTGTGATCGAAACAGTTGAAAAACGATTAAATTTCAGCTAGTAAATCTCAGGTTTGAATCTTATCCTACCTCCTTTAGCCTGAGTAGTTATCACTCTTCAGAATATAAGTGTGGCTTGTAACTTATTGCAAAAGGAAACTGAATTCTAACTAATTTCTATTCAGAAAGTGTTCATTAAAAGCTTTTACAGACATTATGATTATCAGGGTACTCGTATACAACCGACATGTCTGTCTGTCTGTTTTCGACATAGAACTTTGCACAAATGTGCGGAAGTTCAAGTCGCCACATTCCGTGTAGCACGCGAAGCAAGAGAAGAAAGTACAAGAAAAGCATAATAGAAACAGTGAGCAGAGGTGTGAGACAAAGGAGTAATAAAGAAATACAAAACAGTTTCATTGAAGATCATAAGTCACAGGGAGTGGATGCATCTGCGCCACTGAGAACGATTTTGAGCCATGTCACCAATTGTTTCCAACCATAGATTTTTACCGTCCCGAGGACCCCAGCCTGGAAGTCTACACCTTCCTACGTGGCTTAGACCAACTGTTGTGGATTTCATTGACTGATGCCAAGTTTTTGTTTGACCGCCGCTAGCTTTTTTCCAGCCTGACCCTATATCCGCTAACATTGCTCGTCGAGGGAGGCGATGGCTTGGCATACGTAACACATGTCCTAACCATCTCAGTCTTTGTAGCTTCACGACTTCGTCGATTGATTTCCCCTGTTTACCTAGAACTCTACGCCTAACCTCCATGTTGCTCACCTTATTATGCCACTTTACACGGGAAATAGAACGCAGGCACCTATGATCAAAGACAGCTAGTCTTTTCATGTCTTCCACTCTCAGTGGCCAGGTCTCACAACCATAAAGGAGGACGGAGCGGACTGATGAGCAGTACACCCGCCCTTTGGTCGATAGTCGAACATCTCGTCTACGCCAGAGTCGGCGTAAACTAACAAATGCGAAACGAGCCCCTTGTATTCGTGCTGAGATTTCGTCAGAGATCAGCCCGTTGGGGCTGATGGTACTTCCCAAATAAGTGAAGCGGTCAACGTGCTCTACCACTTCACTTCCTATTTTTAAACTAGGCGTCGATGTAGTCCAGTCCTGTAACATCATCTTGCATTTGGCGGGAGCGAATCGCATGCCAAACATTCGTAGATTGCGGCTCAAGGTGTTTAGAAGACTCTGCATTTCGTCAGCGTCTTCGCCTAGAAGGACTATATCGTCTGCATATTCCAAGTCAACGAGATTATTCCCGGTAGCAAGTCAATCCCTGAGTCGCTGAAGTCACCTAGGGTTAAGTCCATTAACACATCTATGATGAAGTTGAATAGAAAAGGAGATAATGGGCATCCTTGACGGACACCACTGGTCGTCATCAGTTCAGATGACAGCTCGCCGTAAGCCCTCACCTGGCTGTATGAGTACGAGTAGAGTGCCTTAATCAGTGCAATATATTTTCTTGGAATTCCCTTTACAGCCAAGCATCTCCAGAGAACTTCCCGATCGACAGAGTCGAATGCTGCCTTTAGGTCAAGAAATATAATGACTGTTGGACGCCGGTAGGAATGCCTATGTTCTAGAATCTGTCGGAGGGTGAAGATATGATCAATACACCCTCTTCCTGGTCTAAAGCCTGCCTGGCTCTCTCGTGTTTGTGCTTCCCGAGCACCACTCAGTCTACGCATGATTATTGAGCCTAAGACTTTAGATACTATATTAGTCAAGCTAATCCCTCTGTGATTATCACAGGAAGACTTGTCTCCCTTCTTGTATATGGGGATAATCAGTGACTTACACCAACCCGATGGGACTTCTTCTGATTCCCAGACGCTGCCTAGTACCTCAGTTAATCCGGACAGTAAGCTGTCTCCACCGTACTTAAATACCTCTGGAGTCATTCCATCAGGTCCCGCTGCTTTGCCTAGTTTCAGATTGGTGACAGCTTTAGTAACCTCAGTTAGTGACGGAGGACCTGTGTTTATATCCCATTCAGGGAGGTGTTGGATGCTCGGAAGGTTGAGCGTGGCTGTGGGCAAATTAAACTGCTCCTCATAATGCTCTTTCCAACGATCCAGTCGTCTATCCTGTGAGCTAATTATAGTGCCATTTTTTTCCGAGATTGTCTCACTGATGATTTGTCTTCTCCCACCCGTTTCCCTGATGAGTCCAAAGAGTTGCCTGGTGTTGCCTATCCGACATGTGGACTTTGAACAATATCAATTCCGGAGTCTGAAAGTTACTGAGGTCAGTACTTTATTTTCGGAAAACAGTTTAAGTACGTCAGGTTGCAGGTTAGAATGCAAAGCTGAAGACGGTAATTAATTTAACACGACGGACGTCAGATGGGATTGTTCTGTCACAGACAGTATCTCAGCACATCGGACTAGTATTGGTTGGATTGATTTATTGGATGATATTGAACTGTTTTAAAGTAGAACTTCGCGCAGAAATGCAACAGTTTAAGAAGCTGCACTCATTATAGCACACAAAGGTAGAGGAAAGGGAGAAAGAAGAGATTCAAGAAAACTCTAATGGGCACAGATGTACAGGAGAAAGAACAGTAACATGAAAAAATGAGGGTTCAATGGATGTGGGAGATCACAAAGTGAATACATTCGCACTATTGAGAACGACTCCTAACCAAATTACCAATGGTCTCCAACTATTAGTTCATAGCCTTTCTAAGTCACTAAAGTCGATTAGCGTCGCATGCATTAGTAAATGTGTAGTGAAATCACACAAAAATAGGGACTACATATAGCTAACGGACACCACTGGTTGTCATCACTTCAGATGATAATTCTGCATAGGCTCTGACACAGATACATGAGTTTAGACAAAGTGCCTTGATCAGTATGACGTAATTCATCAGCCCACCTTTCACAACACCTCTCGGTGTACATTAAGAGAGGTTTGAATATGACAGAAATACTGTAGCTGGGGAAGTATAACATCATATTAATTCTGTTATATGAAAAGTGATGGTGTTACTGTTAACAGATGCTACGTGGAGTATTAGATGAGCAGTATGAACGTCAGACTTCGTCTCAGAAAAGACGTAAACCAGAAGAATAAGTTGAAAATCACATCGTCAGAAGATTCTGAAACATGCTTTTAGCTGCTGTAATTCAACGTGGGAAAAGGATGAGGACAGTGGTGATATGGATTAATGAATTCACTGAATATTAGCCTTAGATATATACAATATTAGAAATTACCCAGTCGCCATCACCCAAGTGGCAGCAGCCGATGCGTCGGCCTCAACTGTGTTTGGAGAAGCCACTCGACATATTCGAGAATCAGATACATGTCTGACACAAATTTATAATCTTTGATTGTTCTTTTCCTGCATTTATCATGCAGATTAGCTGTACCAACTAGGATCAGTGGTCTATGATGCAAGGTCTTATGATAATGAGTCTGTTTCACAACAGCGCTACAAGTATTGACAATTAGCTACTATTCTAAGCCTCAAGTTGTTACCTGGTGTTAATGACATTAAATCCAAGCCATGGGTTGCAACTATTAACTTGAGTACTAACTCGAACCCGGAGTGTAAACTTATATTGTTAACGTGACACGTTTTTTATGTATAATAATATTTTATAAAACAGAACATAAAATACTGGCATTAACACACCGATTGTAGTTGTACCACCAAGAAGAGCTGCCTTCCCAGCAGACACATAATTATCAGCCACAGGGTCGAATGAATCTGCCACACCGATATGACAATCCAAGTCAACTCCACCTATCAATATAAGTAAAAATGACCTCAAATACCTACCAGGCAACAGTAATTTATGACTTACATCGACAACTCTAGTGTCACTTGGACAAGAAAGTTCTTCGCCAATAGCCCTGGAAGTTAAATATAATTGAAAGCATTTTTCTTACTGTATAATTCCATCATGAATCAATACATCTGCTTTGAAAGTCACATCATGGTTTACAATTGTCCCACCTTTAAGTAAAAGTGGTTTATCAACCTGTTGGAAATGATATTAATTAACTGTAAAGTCCTTACAGATGAGCTTTCTGGCATCAACGTGACTATTTATGATCGATCTTGATAAACAATTAAACATTAGATGTCTGGTCCTAGCAAATAATGGATGATTGGCAAAGCGAATGACAAGGTCATATATGTAAAGATTTGATTGGTAGAAAAATAGAATGCACCAATAAGAATGAAAACGGCACGACCTTAAGCGCTTGAATGTAATAGGCTTGATTTTAAAGACTAAAATAACCAGCTTTTCAAGAATGGAGTAAACATAGATTGGTGACACTAAACCATGGGGTAGCCCAAAACGAAACTACCTAATGAGCGGATCGATGACCTTGACAAATTTATGTACAGAAATTGGTTTACCCTGACTATGAGGACTCCTGTGAGAAATTGGGAGGTTCTCTTGGAACGTATATGTAACTACTTTTTAACATTGCATTATTTGAATATAGACGTTTATTTCAAATTGCGCACTTCTACTTCTTACGCATCTGATTAGTCGCTGGAGGGAGTGTCGTTTTGGGCTGCTGTAGTCACCCGAAGGAAGAGATCAAAATAACGTCCGAGCCTAGTTGGATGCGAATCTTTTAAAACAAAACTGAAAACATCCAAAGTATCTACTGGCGTGTCAAACATTTATTTAGTGACTAGCATGCATTTAAAGTCACTGGAGCGTTTTCACTCCTGGGACGCTATTGTTGAACTTCGCCATAAGAATCGTATCCATGGATTAAGTCTTTTCGTTCTGAAGTAATGCTAGTCGGTGCTTAATATGTCCTGTGAGGGTTGGAACAATGCTGATAAGCAGACCCATTAGGTTCTGATCTACTCCTGAAAATGTCTAGAAAAAGAACAGGGTGCTGAATTGGTGCCAGGACTGCTGAAAACCATCACTGAGTTCTAGTCTGTGCGCTCAAAGAAACCATTTTAGAACAGATTCAGAATTTACTCACTATAGAATGTTAGAGTTGTTTCGGAATTAGTGAGATTTAATTCACCATTATAGTAAGCATTTAGTGTCCCGTAGATCCAGAAAAACAAACTGAATTCAAAGATGACATTGAGGCGTATAATATTATCAGGAGAAAACTATCGAAATTTCTATATAGATAATACTTTACTGGTAGCCTTCGAATAATGTTTCTATACAACTAATTATTCAATCAATGAGTGAAAGGCAAGCTGATGGTTGGGCTATTGTATCAACGTGCATAAACAAGTTTACTTTCTCCTGTAGATCTAAGTAAACCATACCATGGTTAGCAGAGGATAGGTACATTTATTCCAATAATAGAACACCTGCTGAACTCAAAGAATTCATTTGCGTTTGAGAAATTCCCTCAGATTGAGTGAGATGAATACATCGATGAATAGTTAAAGCATCAGAGATGTAAAAACCTAAGCCAGTTTTATGTATCAAAAGAAAATTGCATTCAGTCTCTGTCTTTACCATGACCATTACGACCATTTTACTTCCTATACGATACCGTTATTACCAAGCCATTTTAATATTCTTTAATTCCTAACTATTTTCCATAATTAATTCCTATTTATACAATGTTACTCCTTTGTTCATTTTGAAGTAGTTCAGGGATTTACTTTCTTTTCCTGCTGTGTATTCGAGAATACAAAACCTAGTTGTCGAAAAGTAAAATTTCTCTTCTTAGTGAGAATTCTCTTCTTTTTTTATGGTCGGATATTGTGGCATTTATGCTACTCTTTATTATTACTTTTACTCTTACAGAAGTCGTTATTTTATCATGAGCTTTCTGATGAAGGAGAATGAATGATGATGACTAATCAATGTAGAATGGACAGGAACTGGTGAAAAAGCGATAAAGTGTTTTTATATAAAATCAGTATGAAAAAGCAATGTTATTAATAAACAGTAATAGAGTGGTAATAAAATATGAATGATGGGAATAATAATGATAATAAAATAATAGTAGTAATGACAATCATAATAGTAAACTTAAGAAATAAAAAGAAACAAAATTATAGTAAGAACTTTACTCTGGCCACGGTAGGTCGTGTGGATGTTTGTATCTCTTTTGAATGCGGAGGTCCGGTTTCAGATCCCGAGTAGCTAATGCTTCAGCTATGTACAGATGGGTGTGCGAAGTCCATTTTGACGATATTGAGGGACTGTGTAGCACAGTGAAGCATCCATGCGGGGGTCCTCGATGGCCGTAGATTACAAGGTGTTCGAAAATAGGGCTGCTGCTATTCTTCTTTTCTCCTCTGACTGGCTAACCGAGCTGGACAGTGTTCCAGAATACGTTTGTGGACTTGACGTTGCGTACGGTCGATATACTTTGCTACACACGAGCAAGTAAATTGATAAATAGACACTGAGGTGGCCACAAGCGGTACCGTACCCCAATGTTAGACTGGATTAACTGTTTGCTGGATAATGTGATACGTAAGGTGGCTGTTGGAAATATCTTCCTCAGACATTTAGAAGGAGGTTTCTAAGAATTTCTGATGCCATGTCACCTTTGAATTCCAAGTTCATGAAGAAAGTTTTTTTAGGAACAGTTGTGATGTTTGGTAATGGAGGCTTCTCTTTCATGTTTTTATCTATGAATCTTGGTAGATACCCGTTCTCTAGTAGAGTATCACTTAATAAATTGAATTCTCTATCTATCATGTCTTCCAAACAGATTTTTCTAATCCTTGACCTTAATATACGTACCAGGTTTCGCTTTCGGATCAGTGAGACAAAACTCTGGAAGTTGATAAACTGTCCCATCCATGTTGGCTTGCGATATATCGATTTTTGGATCATACAGACTTGTCTTCTGGTAAGCAGTACACCGAGGAATGGAAATGCCATGTTCGATTCACTTTCTAAGTTGAATTTTATTGATGGGTGTGCTGCGCTGAAGGTTTTGGGAAGATACTCGAAATCAACTCCTTCATCGTAAATTATGAAGGCATCATCTACGTATCTCCTGTATAAGTGCAGTTGACTTGTCAAAGGATGAGGATGCTGTTTTCGAGACTCGTCATGAAGCAGTCGGCTAGGAGTGGACGGAGAGGAGACCTTATGGCTACACCATCTTTCTGTACATAGAATTGTTCACTGAATTTGAACTGGATATTGATATAAGATCGTACAATCTTACTTTTCCGTTAACTACAGAAGTATATATTTCCACTACATGGGTAGGTACTTGCTAAGTCCTCAGATAAGAGTTTTCTCCTGTTCTTCTCTCTCCTGGATTCTCAACCAGGTTAAGTGTAATATCACTGCCAATCATATTTACAATCTTTTACCTGCTCTCTTATAACCACCTACCTACAGGCTAGATGAAAATCTATGAATAGATTGGGCGTCATAAACACACTTTCAATTCATTTTAAATACAATACTGACTGATTTGAAAAAAAACTACTCCTACCAGTTGGTAGTGCCAGCTGAATAAATCTAAATGATCAAAACACAAAATTACTTTTATTCTCTTAAAATTGTGTACAACACGAAATCCGAAGCTCTCTTACTAAGTGCCTATTATCGCTTGTTATAAAAAAAGACGTGGTGGTTCAGTAGGTGAGAGTATTACACTCCGATATTGAAATGATCTTACCTAAGTTCAAATTTCATAAGTGAGGTCATAAGTTATTGGGACTTAAGTATATGCATCGAAATTCAATTAGAATGAAACGTCTATTTTGAATTACTGTAGTAACTATTACTAAACAAAATAAAGCTACAATGAAATTAAAGCATGTGCCAAAACAATCATCTAATGGCAATGTACACCGGAATAGACTAATTAATTTGCTTCTATTCCTTTGTGTTCCCAGTGGGACATAAGGCTTCAGGCCTGAGCTCTGAAGTTGGATTTTACGGGCTAGAATTGCTAGTTTCACGCCCAACTTTTTCTCTTTGTTGGGCTTACGACAGGCTTAGAAAGGTAAAAAAATGCACAGACGGGAGATTGAGACACGGACCACTTGCGTGGGTGACTGAACAAGCGACGTTAATATGCTTCAGTGAAGTAGAAAAATAAGTCACAAATATCAACATATATATGTGATGTACAGTTTTCTAGTGTTTGAACAATATCACCCTGAGCTAAGTGAGTGATTGCTTCTGATTCTTTGGTAAATGATCTTAATTAATAAAAGAGCCAGGAGACACTCCACACTTCTGTCTTGAGAAGAATTGGTACTTAAGAAACATCACAAAATCATCCTCTGAAGCTAAAGTAAGAATAATACTACCATAAATGAAAAATGTTTCCGAAATTATTGCATGACTATTGGAACCTGCTGAAATAGATTTTGCTTGTAAACGAACATAGTCATCTCACTAATTACTCTCTAAACCTGAATGCCTGACGGTAAAAGAAGACAAAACCAACATTATTTATGATATGTGCGTTGGTGGTAAAGTGATAGAATGCTCGCCAGCCATGCAGGTGGTTCGATCCCCGGCCGATGCACTGCTTTACCTCGCTAGTCCAGTAATAGGACTGGCAAGAGGGAAGGTTGGTCGTATGAGTTTAGCAACCGCATCCCGTAAAACAAATAAACACCACTGCCACAGAAAATTCAAGCTTGTAGCCTGAAGCCCTATGTTACACTGGGAACGTTAAAGGAATGAAAAAAATTTATGAAATAGTTCGCATCAGCTGAGAAAAATGCAATTTTCGGAAGTGCTGTTCAACTTTCAATCTAAAAATGCAAAATAACAATCACAAGACAAGAACTACTTTCAATCACATTTACACAAGTGAACGTCGGACATCACTTAGACTGGGAAAATGTAAGAAGCTAATAAATTGGAGACACGAAGTATGCTTGATGCTCAGATCAACCAGCAAGTAACAGATATGTAGAATAGGTCAAGTTCATCAATCAATGGAGAATAATTCACACGATCGAAACGTCAAGCATTACGTCAACGAGGCGGCTAGTACAAATACAGATGAATAAAATTAAAAAAAAACTCCAGAGACAATAAGTCACAACTCAAAACATTAAAGAGGTGGTAGTTTCATCTATATAGTATTATAACAGCTCAT